GTCTCTATCCAATAAAGGCATGAAAAGGCCAAAAAAAAAAAAAGATTGTTTGTCGAACTGCTGTTGCCAAGGTCAGGAAAAAACTTGTATGCTGATGACATTTGCAGTTTTTATAGAACAGTGTGTACATTTCCTGTATTTTCGGTTTCGGTTAGGCACACTCACAGGAAAGTAACCACAAAATTTCAGGTAGTACATTTGGTATGAAAAACAATAGAACAAGATGTTTAATTGATTCGCGCCAACAGTATTACCATGCAACAACCTCTGTGGCAGCCAGAGCCGCCACACTGAGCTTCAAAACAGCTCTTCGGGAACCTGGGTGACGTCACAGAGACTACGTACAGTTTTAATGACACAGTATTTCAATATTACGCATATGACTTTTCAGAGAAGTGATAAATGGTGATGTTGTTATTGGTATTTTTGAGAAATTAGTCTAACACAGATTTATAACAGTGTTATAGATGTTAGTGCAGAAAGGCTGGTTAATAAGAATATAGGATGAGCATTGTATAATACACTCACAGGGATTCCAGGGTGACCTCTCTCCCCTCTCTCACACAGACAGGTCTTTGGCTGTGGGCACTGAAATAAAGACAGAAAAAGACTGTGTGTGTGCTTTAGCTAAAAATTCAATTCAATTCAATTCAATTCAAAACATTTTTTGTATAGCACCATTGATAACAAGAAGTTATCTCAAGGACACTTTTCAAATAGCAGGGTCTTGACCGAACTCCTTAATAACATTTACAGGACCCAACAGTACCACATGAGCAAGACCTTGGCGAACGGGGGCAAGGAAAAACTGCCTTTTAACAGGCAGGGACAGACCCTTCGGCTCTAGTTGGGTAGTCATCTGCCTTGACCAACCCACCTAATGTGTTCTATACACCTGGGAGAACAGAAGACAGACACCAAATGACACAGAAATAGAGATGTTCTGATAACATTTTTTTATTCGGATAAAGATTCTGATCTTAGTTGATAACTCTATCTAACACGTGCAGTACAATTTGCTGTTTTTTTTCTTCAAGGGTATGCTACTAAGCCTCAATGATTTCTATCATTGTTGCCTGGCTCAGGTTAAATGCTTTGTCAGAGTCAGAGTAGGGCAACTCATGACTTCGCCATCCTGGGGAAAAAATGTGACACTGCTGGGAAGTAGCAGGCTAATAAATTGCACAGTGCACAAACACGAGTAGTAGCCAATACCCGATGTCGGGCTATTGGTTCACAACCTCGGTGTGAACCAATAGCTTCATGGAGGGTCACGAAGCCTTCTTGATTTTGAGCCGTGCTAGAAAACTTGCACTGGTTCACTTTTGTGAAGAAAAGTAAATGTAAAGTAAATTGTCTAATAGAACAATAGTCAAGGGTCAGGGAGAAGAAGACACAATTTGTCAAAAAAGAAGCCAAGTTGATTGTCTGTATGATTGTTGAAAAAGATAAAAACACAAAATACAGACACAACTTTATAAAAGGTTCCCAATCCAAATCACTCGTTTTACACAAACTTCTTGCAGTTACTCAGTTCACTATTTGAATTAATTGTACAATTTTTAATAAAATAAGAAATATCCATAAAATATGTCATTTAAGCAGGGGAAAAAGGTTTGGAACAACTGTTTTAGGCAGTATTGGAGGGATTTCCAATATTGCTATTGTTATCGGGACAATTCTACACAGAAATCACATGGATGATATTAAATCTCATAGTACTTACCCCAGTTTTGACAATTGTGTTCTGAGAGAAAAAAAGAAAAAAAGACAGAGTTCATGATTGTTCATAAACCTGGACCAGCACAACAACACACTTTTAGAGTTTGCATTACCCCTCATTTATGTTCAAAGTTACCCTTATTGTAAACATTAACAGTTCTTTCAAAAACAGTATTCCATCAATTATGTGTCCATCCATGCTGTATATGATCTTACATTGCTGTCATTGTTCATCTATCAGTTTTAATTTCCTATTTATCTGAGTATCTACATCCTCATTATGAATGCCAGTGGATTTGTGAGTGCAACAACATCATCAGTGAAGCTTCAGACAATACTGAATACTAACTGGAGACTAACACAAACATGACTGACCAGTTCATTAAAGAGTCTGTCATCCAGCTGGCTGTCAGTGAGGCTGAGGACGTGCTGCTGTGGGGGGGCGCTAGCAATGGATCGTAGCTTTGTACCCGTGAGACCGTCCCTGGGCAGCCCTGACAGCCTGATGGTGAACATTCGGATGTTGTGCTGTTTGGCCTCTGCAGCAGCTGTCACAGCGCTGGGGCTACGCGGGTGGTCCGTCCCATCCGTCATCAACAGCAGTACCCTCAGGCTGCTGGACGATGTCTCGCGGCTGAACACCTGGGTGGCGTTGGTGATGGCATAGGCGGAGTAGGTGCCATGGCCGATGAAGGTCATGGAGGCCACCCGGCTCTGGAAGACGTCCAGGTCCTGCCAGTCTCTGAAGTTGTGCTCCACCGACACCTTGCTGCTGTACTGGAGAGCGGCCAGGCGAAGCCGCAGACGCCAGCCGGCCGAGTGGAGCTGCATGAGCTTAGTGCTGAAGCCCAAGATGAAGTCCTTCTGACGCTCAAACAGCAGAGGTTTTGCATTCTCTGAACTGTCCACGATGAACATGATCTCCACCGGGCAGATCAGGGCTAGACAGGAGCCAAAGCACAGCAGGCTTAGATTCTAATAGCAACCGTTTAGAGAGGTTTCAAACAGTCGGTGCAGTGGGACATTATAACTTAGTTAACAGATAACAAACTTTAGTTTTCCTAATTCAGGAAGCTCCATTGTTCCACCAGCAAGGGTCCCTTTACCCATCCAACACTGTGGTCCAGAACAACATATCTGGACAACTACTCACTGTTTGGTATGAATTGAGGATGAGGATGATTTTAGTAAACCCTTTTGGTCAATAAAACTAATGAGCAAATTTCCAACAGAACCTAACAAATAAATCATAAGCCCCTAAATGTAATATAGATATACTGTACATACAATTGGTTCATGGCAACAGCGGCGCATGCAGATGCAGCAACCGGTAGCTCCTTCAAACTTGCTACTTTTTTGCTTTGTTATTTTTTTCAGCTTTTTTGCTGAAAACGTCATTTAATGATGTCTGATTGGGTTTGATTTTTAAGAGCTAAACCAAAATTCCATCCTGCGGGTGCTGTCGCCCAGGAAGACAGGGAGAGAGGCGGATAGGAACCATGCTGGCCCAACTTAGACTTAGAGCTGCTCCTGGCTAATGGACAACACAGTTTGTTGGTCAAACCACGTCAAATCAGAGACTGTTCATCCTTGATGAAGCACTTGATAGCTAGACCATGTCCCGAGCTGACAGAGCACAGAACAAGAGGAGGCACACTCCATGATGCTTAGTGCTCAAACGCAGTCAAAGTAGATATACATTCTTTTTATGTGAAGATGAAACCATATTATTATTTGTTATTATTCTATGTGTGGTGCATGATCCTTGTGTTATATAATGACAAAAAGATTTACTTGATCCTAGATTCTTCTAGCTCACTCCCTCACAGCAAATTTAGAAATGCTGTAGAGGACAGGGAAATCATGTAGGGGGCGTGGCCTTGTGGCTATGGATTGTGTGACACAGGAGGTAACGGCCAGAGTGACAGACTGACTACCAACCATAGTGTAGATGAAATACAGCTGCCGGTAGTCAGTGCTTACAGAGCTAACAAGCCATGAGCAGCTTCTGTCAGACTCTCTGTCTGTGCTGGAAACACAGAGAATCTGCTGGGGCTTTTATAGTCACTAGAAGCACATTCACCACCATTTCTGTGTGGTACCTGTGTTGTAACATTAGCTAAGCTAGCGGCTTAGAGAGGCTAACTCTCCGGTGTCTGTGGCAGGGTGTCAGGCTACCACTGCGTACCAGGCCACAGTTTGCAGACTGGAGACATGGCTTTAAAGAAGCAGGGGTTGGTTGGTGACAAAAATTTATGCAAATTTAAATTGCAATAGCCGGTTTCAACCAGTAGAGGGAGGTCACTATGCATATTTATAGCACAAATATATAATTGAAATACTTTGCACTCAAACGTCAAGATTTGGACCTGAATTAATCAACAACACTAGTAAAGACCCATGTACAAAGGTTTTCCGCAGAAAAAAGGTTGTTTAGGGGTTTAGTTACTCTTTAAATAGGCAAAACTGGTTGTACCAGGGTTCATATTGCTCTAAACAGAAACTTAATATAGCTTGAAAATGGCACCAGAGTACTTGATATTAAGCAGGATCACAGGGCGGCTGTGTCTCAGAGGTAGCGGGTCGTTCCCCCAATCGGAAGGTTGTTGGTTCGATCCCCGGCTCCTCCTGGCACGTGGTCGACAGTATCCTTTGAGCAAGATACTGAACCCCCAAATTGCTCCTGATGCATAGCAAGTGTGTGAATGTGTATGAATGAGTTTTAGTTTCTGTTCGATGGACTTTGCCATCGCTTGTGTGAATTGTGTGAAAGTTGGTGAATGTGGCACGTAGTGTTAAAAGCGCTTTGGAGGGTGGGTCGGAAGAACTTAGAAAGGCGCTATACAAGTACAGGTCCATTTACCATTACCATTATAAAACTGTTGGTGTAACAATTAATAAAATAATTTGTGTCCCAACTAGCATCAACTCTGCGTCACTCATAGTGTTACAGTATTTATGTAAACACATACTCTTAGAAGAAGATAACTTTATTGATCCTCTAGGGGGAAATGTTTTTTTCACTTTTTTTTAATACACACACACACACCACAGGCTGAAATGCACCACTTCATGCACCATATGGACATGGCAAAGGGGGAGAATGATGGTTGAGTGATGGGCTGCCACCGTTACCAGCCGCCCCATGAGCAGTTTCTTGTGGTTAGGGTTGCCTGCTCAAGGGCCACCTCGGCAGTGCACAGGAGGTGAAACTGGCACCTTTCTCCAGCCTACCAGTCCACACTCCATATTTTGTGGTCTGTGGGACTTGAACCGCAGCAACCCTCCGGTTCCTAAGCCAAGTTCCTACACACTGAGCTACTGCCGCCCCAAATCCACTGTAACTATCAACTTTTCTATTTGACTGACTACCATCACTTTTCCCGGTCCCAAATTGTCATGAGACTCAACAATCACCCATCTTTCTTGCTTCTGATTGTTTGTTTTTGTTAAGGCCAGCTGGAAAAACTTGCACCCAGGCTTCTGAAGCATAACAGTGCTTAACACTTAACACACACTCACTTACAGCACAAGGCTTTGAGTTCAGATTATGTAAGACTTTATCAAGTTGCAACAATCACATTTGGACTTTTTTTAGTACTCTATCCTTAGACAAACACTTACTTTTGGCCTCATTAATGATGACCTGGTTATCATCTCTCTGTCCTTTCCTCCTTCTCTTCTGGCATGTGGTTTGGCCTGAGAGGGCCAGGGTAAGGATCAAAATCTTTAGGAGCCACCACACGGTCATTGTTCAGTCCAGCTGCTCAGCCTGGGTGTAAAGAAATGCATGTGTATAGCAGCATTAATGGTAAATGGTGCTTCTGTGAGACAATAATGGACAGCACCAGTCATTTGACATGAGCCATGCATCACATCCAAGAGCAGCAAAGGCTGCAATGATTTCACATGGACACAAGGGGAAGACAAGACTGCAATGACTGCTCACAGATGACGCAGTGGAATTCCAATGTTATGATGATAGGCAGGCTTACAGGTCACACAACTCAGCTATCTGCTCCTTGTTATAGCTCTAATGCTGTTTGTCATTACTATTACCTCTATTTGCTTTTACCAACTATAACTACTGCTAATACTACTGTTGGTAATATGAATGTTTTTGATGCATCTACTGCTGCAGCTACAAGAAATACTGCTATTACTGCTGCATTTAATACTACCACTGCAACTACTACTGCTGACATTATCACTACCTAGTTCATTTAAATGTATAGCCCTTTAAAGCTACACTAGGTAACTTTTATAAAACCTTTTTGTCATATATGCTGAAACTTTAGTGAAACTTAGTGCTGCTATGGCATTTGCAAGAATCCACTGGGACTGAACAAAAAACAACAAATCACAGCCAAGAAAGATAAGCTGAAATTGTTGATTCTCATTCCTCATTCCTCACCCAAATACAGACGTTGTGGGACCCTGGAAATGAGATTCAACAATCTGCTATCTTCAAGCTTCCAGACTAAAGCGTCTTTATGTCTTTCTCAGCTCTGATTGGTTGTTTTGGTTCAGGGCTGGTGGATTCTTGCAAATGTCATTAGGAGCACTAGCAAGACCCAGAGGAAGCTGATTAGTTCAAAGATTATCAATCTCCTGTACTACTGTCAGGATATAGTAAAAGTTTAAGCAAATATGCAAAAAAATATTTTTATAAAAATTACCTACTGCAGCTTTAATGATTTTGGTTGTATGTTAAGTCATTCAATAAGCCAGACTTTATGGCAGCATTGGATTTGATAGGATTTTTGCATCAATGTAATCAGACCCAATGGTGACCACATTTGAAGTGCCCCCCTCCTCCCACGTTATATATAAATATGTAAATGTCAGGGTTTCCCTATAGGTTTCTGGAGGGGTTAGTTGCTGTGGTTATGATGGGGGATTGAGAGGTTTGGGGTTCCTCCACCAATAAATTGTTTTGTTATTTGACAAAAAACTTAAAGTAAAAAATGCATTTTTACATAATGTTAGACTATTATCGGAACAATATTTTTATTTTTTTAAACCTACACAGTTTGCAGTTTTTTTACATTACACTCAGACATTAGCAAGAAAAATGTAATTTCCAGAGCAGCAACAGTAATGTTTACAACATCAAAGTCTCTATACAAACTTAATAATATCTCATTGGAAACCAATCTAAAATGTCAGTAAAATAAATAATATTCCTGACATCATACACATAGACATCAGTCAGTATCAGTCCTTCCTCCTGTCATCTCAGATTCAAACTTAAATAAACCGTTAGATTGCATACAGACAACTTGCACAGAGGGTGTCAGTAAAGTACTTTAATTTGTTAGGAATGTAACTGACGTATTAGCCAGAAACAGAAATTATTTTGTGGTCACTCTTATCCAGACACTGACACAGACAATATCTCACTTGATTTTATGCCATAATATTTTTTTTTTCTTATCACCCACCACTATTATCACTACTTTTACTACTTTTACTACTACTGATAATAATTTTACTATATCTACTTCTTATTTTCTACTGCTACCAACCTAGTGCTATTATTATTACTCCGCTGCTCCCACTGAAATACTTCCACTACAGCTCCAAAATACCATTACCTCTACTCCTGCTTTAATGCTTCCATGAATGGTATGTCAAATACTACTACTACTAATAATAATAATAATAATAAAAATATTTCATACTACTACTACTACTAATAATAATAATAATATTTCATAATACTACTACTAATAATAATAATAATAATATTTCATACTACTACTACTAATAATAATAATAATATTTCATACTACTACTACTAATAATAATAATTTTAAGTAATAAATCTGAGTTCTCTCTATTCAAATGTTAATTTAAAGCTTTAAAGACAGTCTGTGTGCACATTAATATTAATAGCAGTTTGTTATACCATGAGACCTACCTGTGTACTAACAAAATAAGAGCTCCAGGTTAATCCATCAGAGAGCTGAACAGGCGTGCAGTGCTGTGAGTCTAGGCAAGGAGAGCTACAACTCTTCAGTCAAACCTGCAGCAGCTCTGGTGGCCACACCAGTGAAAAGTCACCCACATTATAAAAACTAAAACTTCCTCTTGCTCCCTTCACAATAAAACTTTATTTGAGAATCAAAGGAACTTCATTATTCTTATACTAACAGAAGTTGCCTTTCATATTTAATGTCATTATTTCATTATGTAATTTGGAGTGAATGCTAATTGTGATTCTGCTTGGCGCCAAGACATTATTAAGGACTAAAATATCTGCTTTTATTTTGAAGGCAAATTGCAGCTGCAGCCAATTTACTGATTCTAATAAAGTGTTCACTTTCACTTTATTTGTTCACACCGCAGGCAAAAGAGGCTGGAATCTGCTTTTCATGGTCATATGTGTCTAAGAACTGATTTTTTTAATGACAGTGTGAACAGCACAAATCTTGGGAAATCTCATCTTTTCAATTCAGATTTTTTTTCAAAAACACACCCTTTATGAATAAGCTGTCTGCTGCAGCTGGAAACAAGGTCAATCAGAGTTTTACATTATACGCAATCATTTCATCTATTGTTGATATAGAAATATTGACTAGATCAGCTTTAAGTATTTTACCTCATTTCTTTCCACCAATTTCAACAAAACATTATTTCACCCATGCTGCAATTTGTACAATTTGTACAATTTGAGAAACTCTCCCACTACTGCAAAATGCTCCTCACCTACAGACTGTAAAACTGAGAATGCTGGTGCTGATCCATGTAAAGCTCACTGCAACTGGGAAGAAAAACTCGGGCAACACATGAGTCTGCTACTGAGTCTAATATAAAACAAGTGTATACTAAAAATGACTTATAGAGTGAGGAAGACAGAACATGGAGGTAGAAATAGGCCAGCATCTGGGGTTAGACTGAAATATGGTTTGTTCAGGGTGGGGGAGAGAAAAGGGAACGAAAAGGATGTTTTAGACCTAATCTTTATGGAGTCGTACGCTGAGTGGCAACCTGAGAATGTTGAGAGAAACTGTGCATGTCAGTGTGAGAAACTTCTATTAGCTGTTCCCATAATTCATACAGACAGGCTCAGATAAGGCCTCATGCCCAGTTCCTTACATAAATCACTGAAATGTCTGACACATGCTGCTGCTCTCTCTGCAAAAAGTTACCAATCATTCAAAAAATATCACCTGGGACCTTAAAGAAAACATTCCTTCAAAGACTTACACATCCAACTATCTGCATGATAAATGCAATATCTATTCGAATACAATTTTTAAAAAAAGGCTAAGATTGGTGTGTGTCCCTCTATAATTGGTTCATTGTGACCTTAAGGAGGTAGGTAACTTCCATAAAAGCAACTTTGTGTCATTATTGCTGAAACTTTCACTATATTCTGACAGTAAATGGTAAATGGACCTATACTTGTATAGCCTTTCTAGTCTTCCGACAACTCAAAGCGCTTTTTACCCTTTCACACAGCGATGGCAAAGCCCATCGAACAGAAACTAACACATTCATACACATTCACACACCGAGTACAGTGCACAGTTCAGTATCTTGCTCAAGTTACATACTGCAGCTTTAAGATTATTTCTTTGACAAATGTGATTTTGACAGATTTCCTTCCACTTCTTAACACAACCAATCTTTACTGTATGGTGAAACAGCTTAGACAGGGTTAGGACTAGAACCATAGAGGGTATTGTGTGTTTTTTATTGTGTGCCACGCCACGTAGCCCCACGCCCTAGCCCTCATCGCCGGAAGCCGAGGGAGACCGCTCTACGTCCTCATGCGTTTCAGACACCGTCCAAAGAATTGTGCGTTCATAGTGAGACTCTTCACTGTGAAACTTGGAAATTCAGCGCCACGCCACGGACAAGTGATTGAATTTGAAGTCAATCTGAAAAGGAGGAGTTAGTTAAAATAGAAGCCCTGAAATGCCAGAAATGGCATCAGTTTGACATTCCATTCAAGTCCACACGTGCCCTGTGAATTTCATATTCATAACTATTATGGTCTCCGCACAGTGATTTATCATGCCACCAGAGCGTGG